TATATATATATATATGTGTGTGTTTCTCTTTAAGTAGCTAGTGCGTGTGATCGTTCTCCTTTATTTGTTTTTTTATTTTTATAATTGATACAATTTTTATAGTTTGAATATAAAATTATGAATTAAATAATTTTTTATTCATAAATAGAAATTCTAAATTCTTTTTCTTTTTCTTTTTCCTTATAAGTTTACGTTTGGTTTGTAGTATTGGATATGATTTGAAAGTATTTAAAATTCAATTTCATTTAAATCTATGTTCGGTTTGAAGGATTATTTGAATTTGAAATTATATAATCTCATTAAAATCCCACACATATGAGATTTAGAAATCTTAGGTCCCGTTTGATTTGAAAGAATGAAACGGATTTGGTGGGATTTGCATTTCAAATCCATTTTAATCTCATGTTTGGTTTGTTGGATTGTCTGGATTAGAAATTTTAGGATTTAGTTGAAATCTTTCAAAAATATGATTTTGAAATTCTCAGGGAGTGCTCGGGATTTCACGAGATTTCGTAGGATTGCATGTAATAAGGTTTTAAAAAAATGTTTAAAACATTTATTTTGTAATAATCGATTAATAAAAATGCAATTCAATTATTTTTAATTTTTTCTATAAATTATTTATAAATAATGAAATCCAATTCAATTCCAAATCCTATAAATCAAACACACCAATGATTTCAAATCCATTCCAATCCAAATCCCTCCGTGAAATTCAAATCCCTAAAAAATAATCTTGCAAACTATTTTAGTATTTGTTAGTATTTTGCGGGATTTTGTAAAGTTTGTGTAATAATGTTTTAAAATATGTTGAAAACATTTACTTTATAATAATCAATTAATAAAAAGGCATTTTTTTATAATTATTTATAATTTGTTTTTGTGAATTATTTATAAAAATTAAAATTCAATTTTATTTCAAATCCTACAAACTAAACACATCAATGATTTCAAATCCCTCCAATTCCAGATCCTTCCATGAAATCCAAATCTCTCAAGACTATTTTATACAAGTCCTAAAACCAGATATTTTCTAAATATAAATCATAAAATGAAATCCATTTTAAGATCTCCATTAGACACTTAGGTGACGTTTGTTTTTTAAGAGGTGCTGAAGTCTTATTTATAAGATGTGATCCTGAAGTCTAAAATCTAGATCAGTAAGATTGTTTGTTTTTACATCTGAAGTCTAAAATTTGAATTGATCAAACTAATGCAAAAATATAAAAGATAAATAGTTTTTTTTTTATTTTATTTTTACAAAAGTATAAAAGATAAATAGTTTTTGCTAACAAATCTCTTCCAACCCCCAAAAATACGAACCATTCAATAGAGGGCGAATTAGGATTAAGAGGTATTAAATGATAAGTTTACCACTTAAAATTTAAGAGAACATTTAGAGTTTTTAAGCTCTTATTTTTAAAAATAAAACAAACACTTTTGATACCCAAACATCTAAACGAATCCGACTTCATAGATATTAAGAAGTAATTTTGAAAAAACAAAGATACCCTTAAATTTTGTATGGTGTATATTAGGGGTGAGCATAGGCGGGTACCCGCCCTTTTTGACAGGAACCGGAACCGGAACCGGCGGTTCTTGAGATATTGGAACCGAAACCAGTTAGAGCGATTCTTGAATTTTTGGAACCGGAACCGCCGGGAACCGGTTCCGGTTCCGGGTACCCACTTCCTAAAATAGTAAAATTTTGTTATTTAGAAATAAAAATAAAATATTGCCAAAACATTAAATTAAATAAACAAGAATACAAATTATACGGAATAATGATTACAAATATTGTTTTAACGATTACAAACCATAATAGACTAATAGAAAATATTCAAAGTTTAACGATTATATACTATAATTGTAAATGTTCAAAACTTAACGATTACATACTACGAACTGTAGTTTAGTAGAACTAGAAAGTAGATGAAGAATGAAGATGACCGCGTCATTTGAAGATGTAACTTAATATAAATTTGGTATTGAAAAAAATCAATTATTTTTTTATTGAAAAACAACCGCCGGTTCCGGGTACCCGGCGGGTAACGGTTCCGAAAAACTGAGAACCGGAACCGTTCTCAATCGGTTCCGTATTTTAGGAACCGGAACCGGAACCACTCATATCGGTTCCGGTTCCGGAACCGGCGGTTTCAAGACGGTTTCGGTTCCGCAAACGGGTACCCGATTCCGCTGCTCACCCCTAGTGTATATAACCAACCCATGATTAAGGAATGAAGTAAAGAATGATAGCATGGGATTCTTTGACCAAATGGTGTCATAAATTCACACAAAAAAGAAGACTAAAAATGAAAAAAAATTAATTCTTTGAGGATAATTCTTGCAAGAAATTTATGTTGGTTTCAAGAATTTTAAATTCCAAGAGCACCCCACAAGTTTGAAAAATGCACTAAACAACATCCATGGTGGTTGCATGGCCTTCAATTGCATTTGGTATTTGGTATCCAACAACCCATCAATTTAATCTAATTAATTGCAACTACTCATCATCATGATTTGGTTTCTTATGTTAAATTTAACTGGTGTTTGGTTAGAGGTATTATACAGTAATCAATAAAAATGAAAATAAAAAAAACTGTTTAATTTTGTATAATATAATGAACTCATTCCCCTAAAAAACCCAAAATTTGGTTCCAGGTTAAACTGAGGGAATATAACTTTATTTCCATTTTCATTTAATAGGCTGAACCAAACACCCCCTTAGCCTTTTAAGCTCTTATATCAAAATAATAAGGACTTTCTAAATAATATTATTTAACATAATCTATACTATATTATAAGACATTTGACATTTGATAAAAACTCTTAAAAACTATTTTTTATGCATGAAGTACTGTTTATTGATGCATGTTACTTAAAATTCAAGATTACAAGTAAAATTGTGCGTAAATACAATTTATTAAAGCTTCATGTTTGAATTGGTGTAACCAACTGCATATAAACATAATCAAATAGAGGATAAACATCTCATTTTAAATATAAAAGATCTAAAATATAATTAGGATAATTATTTAGCTCTAACAAAATACTTAATTATTATCTTAGAAAAAATTATATTACTAAACCAAAAAATAAAAAAATGAATTAAAGAAATGCACAAAAAATAAGAAATTTTAAATAGTTAGTTTGGTACTAGTATCAAAATAAAAAAATTTCCACTTTTTTATGATATATCTTCATATTTATATTTTATTCAAAAATAAAAACATTACCGCTTTCTTAAAACCACATAAAACCATATTATAACATCGACTGAGACAAAATAAATAAATAAAACGAAACATTAAAATCGAGATGTATCTCTGCGAGTACCCTTCTAGTTTTTTTATAAAACTATTTGTAATGAATCGACGATGATGTAAGTTAATTATCTGAAATCAAGGGGTCAGTAAACTAAGTGTCTATAATTTTTTTTCCGGATTTACCCTTCAATTAGCTATTGATATTATCGGACATATCGAGGTCTAGACATGCTTTATAGTTTACGTACAAGGATTAAGACCATAAATTGTCTTTCTTACTCGAGTGGCTTAACTCTTCAACAATAATCCTATTTATTGGACAATCGATCAAATCCAATCCAATAGATTATTGTATCCGTTCGGTTCCATCCAATGGATGATAGTTGAATGGATGACTGGATGGTCATCATATGATTAATTGGATATTGAAATTTTCAATCTGATTCGATCCAATTACAATTAAACATCCAATTATGATTGATCAGTTCCAATTGGATCGGTTAATTTCTACACACCCCTACTTCTTGGTATGCCCGCAGCCTATAACCTTCCTTCTTTATGTTCCTTTTGACTATACGGTAACACTTACTTTTTCGCTAACATCTCCCAACATTAAATCCCAAATTTTACATAAATTCAATCCAACCCACACCAATTATTACACCATTTTAAGCATAAGAGTAGGGCCTGACCGGTTTAAGTTTGAGCTCCAAAGGTCAAAAGTGTCTGGAGGTCTCAGATTCAAATCCAAGGAAGAATAAAAATCCCCTTGTGGCCACGGAGGTTCAAATGTGGAGACTTCGGACTACCCATAAAACGGGTGGTCGCCCTCAGATTAGTCAACTCGTATAGCGGGTTGGAGATCCATTTTTATGTTTTAACATCCCACCTCCAGATGAAATATACCGAGTCGTTTAGTTTGGTTTATTCTACCATCCACCATACATATTTCAATGAACAAATCCCAAAAAATATTCCTTCTACATAGAAATGAGGCTATATTTATTGGTCAGAAAAGAGGGTTTTCTCCTAAACTTGTTCAACATATAGAAAATGGACCACTTTTTGCATAAAGACAACACCAAAGTGACAAATCTAGTAACATAAACAATACCCCCCTTATTAAAGATTGCAACAAAGTACCTCATTTTAGTAGAGTGGTTGAAGAGTTGTTGCATTTCCTCTGGCTTTTTCAGCCTTCAAGATAACCCCAGATGCTTCATACTTATACTCCTCCACTCCTGCTATCCATTTCCATCCATAACCATGAAGAAAGATTCACCTCAATCATGGAAACCCTACTGTTGTTCAGCTGATCAAGATAAGGTTTTCTGCAGCTTTAGCCGCTGCCGTCCCTCCAGGTCGGAGTTCTCCAAGAATGTAGCACCATCGCCATCTTTCAGGCGCATGTCGTTCTCGGACCTTAGCAGGTCGTCTTCTATGCGTATTAATGAAGATATAGCGCATGCCTTTGGGCCCGACTTGTTTGACTTTAAATTGAGTGAGTTGCGAGCCATAACTCAGAATTTCTCCAACAATTTCTTGCTAGGTGAAGGAGGGTTCGGTAAGGTGCATAAGGGTTATGTTGATGAGAACATGAGGCCTGGGTTGAAGGCTCAACCGATTGCCGTTAAGCTCCTTGATATTGAAGGACTGCAAGGCCATCGCGAGTGGCTTGTAAGCTTACTATCTCTATTTTTCTTAAGTCTCTAGTTCATAACAGGAAAGTTCATTTGAGAATCGTTAATTCATGAATAGTGGGTTCTCACGGTTCTCAAAATATTCAATATATACACACACGCACATGTATATATGTATGTATGTACATGTGCGCATATACATATATGTATATATAACAATCTTACAAACATCTGACTAACTGTCAATGGTATAACTAAAGGCGGAGGTGATATTTCTCGGTCAACTTAGGCATCCAAATTTGGTAAAATTGATCGGTTATTGTTGTGAAGAAGAAGAGAGACTTCTTGTATACGAGTTCTTGGCTCGTGGAAGCTTGGAAAATCATTTGTTCAAGAGTAAGCTTCTATCGACTTTTGATGGTTGTTCTCTAACGACTTGATTGTAAGCTAAGCCTAAATTGTTACATCTATAGGGATCTCGGTTTGTCTGCCATGGGGAATTAGAATAAAAATTGCAATAGGCGCGGCCAAAGGTCTCGCGTTCTTGCACGGTGCCGATAACCCAGTTATATATCGTGACTTCAAAACGTCCAACATCTTACTTGATTCCGTATGTATCTCAAACCTTTTAAACCACATCTTGCTAAGAGTTTATATACTAACTTTGTTTCTCCCCCTTTGGATTTCGGCAGGATTTTAATGCCAAATTATCTGATTTTGGGTTGGCAACAATGGGGCCAGAAGGATCAAATACTCATGTGACAACTAGAGTCATGGGCACCTATGGATATGCTGCACCTGAATATGTCAACACTGGTAATGTTTCAACCCTACTACAAGTTCGTTCTGTCTATTCAGGGTGCGTTCGGTACGTGGGATAGGATGAGACAGGACAGAATAAAAACTTGTAGTTCCTACCTTTGTTGTGACACTAGATGAGGACAGGATTGGACTGAGTGAGACAAAAGTACATTTTCTTTATCCCACAAAAATAGATGGAACAAAAACTGGGAAATGTGACAAAATGGATAAATTACTAAACTACCCATGTCAGATTCTACATCACTCTCATTTGTCTAGTCATGTCCCGCCCCATCCGCATACCAATCACTTATAATTGTTAGAAGTTTGCAACATGGTAAATGTTCGTCGGTGATGAAATATGTTGATATGCTAAATTGTAGGGCACTTGACCACGAAGAGTGACATTTATAGCTTCGGAGTGGTGTTGCTAGAACTATTGACGGGAAGAAGAGCAATGGATAAAAACAGGCCAAAAAGCGAACAAAATCTTGTGGATTGGGCAAAGCCGTACTTGACTAGTAGCCGAAGAGTGCGTGCAGTAATTGATCCTAGGTTGGCAGGACAATACTCGGTTAGGGGGGCCAAGGAGATGGCTCTTCTAGCGCTATATTGCGTGAGCCTGAACCCCAAAGACAGACCAAAAATGCCTGCAATAATCGAAACCCTTGAAGGCCTTAAGAATTTCAAAGATATGGCAATCACTTGTGGCCAGTGGCCCCCGGCTTCACAGAAGACCCCGAGGAATGCAGTTTATATGCCAAAAGAAAGAAAAGACACCAATGGAGGTCGGATCTACTGGAAACAGACTCCTGTTAATCCTGTAAGCACAAAAGGGTAGCGAACGGAAATGAAGATTGTATGAAGGAGAAGAAAAATATGCACCACTTCCATGGATATATGTAAATGATAAATGCATATATGTACATAAAATTTTGATAAAATGTGCTCATGTATGAGTGGTCTGTGTGCAAGAAACAAGAAGCTACTCGAAGGTCGTTTTGTTCATAAAGTGATGCAATGTAGACTTATCTCCAAAAACTTTCAAGCATGCACATATGATCTTATAAGGAGACATTCCAACTTTTGGTCTACATTCTTTCTTCCGAGCATCGACTAGCTATTTTTCATTTCTTGTTCTATGTATTACACTTGATCTCAAATGGATAAATCACATAAGAAGGGCATATATAATGAAATGATCTAAGATTATAATACCATCCATCCACTCCTTCCTCATCTTACCATTCTAGGATCAAAATTAAGTGGATCACATATCAGTTCGTCTACCAATTTAATTTATTCTTGGACTTCCTATTTTTCTTTAGTCCGTGGCAAGATTGACCACAATGATTAGTAGATCCCAAAACAGTCCCTGATGCATTTTCTGTTAATTGAACTCTTTACTCCTTTGCACACACTCTCACCTGTAGCCTGCTTGCTTGTTTCTTTTAATTTTTGTTTTCCAAACCAGGGTCTGCACAAAAACAGCCTCTTTACCCTTTGGGGCAGTGGCAAAGACTGCTTACATCCTACCCCTGACCCTACCTCTTTGTTGGATTTACTGGGTTAGTTCAGTTTTGGTTTATATCAAAGAAATAAACTTTGTCTACCAAAAGCATAGATAACACTCCCCCACCACCATCACAAAACAACATCAGTGCTCTATCAGGAAGCTTTGCCGCCTTATTTGTTGATTGAAAACCCAAAAAAGCATTTGAACCAAGTCATATAAAAAATCAAGATCGAGAATAATACAATACAAAAGAAGAGAAGCATAGGTTTACGTCCTTTGGAAAGGTATGGTTAATCTTTTGTGACCAGAAACTTCACTATGAGCCATAAGTAGAAAGAAGAACAAACAGAAATATGATCTAAAGTTCTATATTATGCAAATGGCTTCAGGAGACCGAGCACATGTCACTCAAGCATATATGCCAAGAATGAACATCATAGAATATACAGTGACATATTATCCAGATGGAGGAATCTCCATAGGAAAAGCAATTGGTAGTGTCAATGGAGGAGTGAAATGGACTAACCTTTTCAGGAGCACGACTACAAGAAGGGCAAAAATAAGAGCTTGATTCTGCCACTCACTCTTGACTAAAACCAACACTGCTACATCTGTGCATCAAATGGCCATACTGATTCAAGCTTGTAGTGTTTTTTTCTCCCGCAACATGTGAAACACAATTCCTTTTTAACAAATGATCTCATTCATCAATGAAGGCATCTCCACAAGCTGTTCTTCTCGACAACCCATCAATTGCATACTTAAAACTCAGACAATTTGGAGTGAATCCAAATTTTTGCATCCTGTTCTGAAATTCCATCGACTTACCAATATCACCTTCCTCACATAACACTTTAAAAAGCTCATTATAGCATTCATTGTCACATACTTGGAACTCCTCGGCAAAGAAGCTCAATAATGACTCCGCTTGATTAAGATTCTTCTCTTTACAATGCCCAGCTATCAAAGATCTGCAAATTGTCGTATCAGGCTGGATGCCAAATTCAACCATATCCCTCATGAAAACTTCACCCTCTGTGGTTCTATTTAGTCTACTCAAACACTCTATGATTGTTCTATAGGTGATCAGACTCGGCTTTATATTCTTGAAAAACATCTCATCTTTTAGCTGTATAGCCTCATTTACATAACTGGATATACAAAACGAAACTATCAATTCATTGTAGATTTCCAACTTATGTGCTTCTTTGCCATCTTGCACCATGCGTTCCCAGAGACTCTTGGCTGCAAATGGTTTATCTACCCGGCACAAAGCAACAACTAGATCAATTTGGAGATCTCTACAAACCGAAACTCCAAACTTTTGGAGCTCTACAATAAGATTCACAGCTGAAATTAACATGTTTTTCTTTCTATATCCTTCTATAAGTACTAAACAGGTGAACTCATTAGGGGGAACTCCTTCTCTGATCATGTCATGAAGTAAAGTACGAGCTTCTTGCATCATTCCTTTATTAATATAGCCACATATAAGAGTATTGTAAGAGAAAACATCTGGGTACAGCCCGATTTGAATCATACGATGGAATAACTTATGAGCTTCCCTTACATTACCCTCTCTGCAAAGCCCATTTATCAGAGATGTATGAGTAATCAAATCTGGCATCACATGTCTTATATACATGATATTATAAAGATAGAGGCCATCTTTTAATCGACCATTCCTCACATAGCTATCTATCAGTGTGTTATAGGTGACAATATCAGGATCAAATCCTTCTTCTTCCATCTTGTCTAAGAACTCGTTCACCTTATCCACATCCCCACTCTTGCATATAACATGAGTTAATATGTTAAAAGTAATCGTGTTAGCACGGACCCCAATTTTCCTCATTTCCTCATAAATTCCCCAACATTCATCGATTTGATCCAACTTCAAAAGTCCATCTAAGAGAAAGTTAATCGAAACGATTTTTGGAACAAAACCAAGCTTAACCATCTTCCTAAAAGTAACAAAACCATCCCAAACCAAACCAGCTTTTAGGTATGCCTTGAGAAGCATATCAAATACAACTGGTTCCCAGATACATTCTTTGGTACACAGAACCAAAATTTCAAAAATACTTACCTTTTCAGATTTGTTCCTATTGAGCTCAATTAACTCAGATAAAAGCTTCATCGTTTGTGGAAGGTTGTGAGACCAAGCTAGTATATGCAACATCAGACAGTAGTTACGAATAGTTGGGACAACGCCTGTACCATTTCTAACCCAATTGAAGAAAGTAAGAGCTGCAAACGAATCAGATTGGCATCTAAGAAGAACCCTTGAGACTTCTTGGTTGCCCAGATGAGGGATCATACCTTTGTCAAGAAGAGTACTTCTTCTTTCCTTGAGATTCGTGCATATGTTATCAACAATTTTGCTAGGATTTTGGGTGTTTGGGAGAAAATTGTAAAGTGGGTTTAGGAAGGAATTTGTTCTTGAATCAGGTAACGTCTGTAGGGATGAAAGAGTAGACTTTGACAAGTGATGGATTTTAAAAGCTGATTGCGAGATCGATTTGAGAAGGATTTCATTCACTAGACTTCGATTCATCACTATTACTTTTGAGTAGGGTTAATGCTATCGAAATATGAAGTACGAGAGAATTACGTACCAAATTTCGATCAACCAAAACTGTTTAGGTGCTTGGCGAACAGATTCGAACTTTCTGAAATTGGAGATGGCGAAAAAAGAAGCGCTGATTTTGGATGATTTTCTAGGGCGGCGATGTATGATTGATACGGCGGTGAGAGGCCGTCGGTGCACAACCGCCCAATTTTCCGTTCATAACAAACACGAAACGGCGCCTTCATCCGACTTCCATAACGGAAGGTAAAAATAGGTCCTAAAACATTCTTTTTTATTATATTTTCACGGTCCGTTGAAATAATTTATGTTTTTTTTTATAAAAGTATTTATTATTTATTATAAGTTATAAGTTATAAGGATTTAACTTTTGTAAAAACTCCTTATTAGCAGTTTGGTATTAATATAAGTTGTTTATCCAAACATTTAAAAATGTTTATTATCCATGACACATCAGAATAAGTCAATAAGTTGTTTTTATAAGCAATCTCAAACACCCCCTAAATAATTTATAATATTTTATTACATGTATAAAATATTTTAATAAATAATCGATATTATAATCTTAAAAATGAAGAAATCTACAGGAGTTCAATGTATTTTTTTAGAAATATTGAGTTTTGTGTTATCAATTTTAGAAAATCTGTTGAAAAAGTTATAGCAAAAATAATATCTTAGATACATAGGAGAGAGTAGCGTGTGCAAAAAATCAACCGACCGATCCAATTAGAAACGGATGACGATGACAATGATTGGATATCCAATTGTAATTTGATCGAATCGAGTCGGAAATTTCAACATATAATTTGAATCGGTCGGTCGTAGGATGGCAGTTCAGAACTGATAAGAACCGAATGAATCGAACATAACCGAATTATCATCCAATGAGAACCGGCCGATACCATCCAATTATCATCCAATACCAAATCCAACTACCATCCAATTAATATATTATTCAATAAAAACTAAAAATTTAAAAAAGAAAACAGTCAAAATAGAATTGGATTCGACAAACAACATCAACTGATGTTGATGACACAAATGAAGAAAAATGAATGATTGGATCGGTTTTAAAACCTCAGTATCTTGTATGGTTAGTTTAAGGGAAACAAAATGTATGACATCGATAATAAACATTTTTGAGTGTTTAGATAAATAATTGACACTGATAATAAATAGGTTTTGAAGACGTTAAACCCTTCTAACTTATAATAAATTGATAGGCGTTTCAATTACCTAAAGTTGCGTAAAATAAAAAAAGAGAGAAAAAACCTCGGCCATGGGTTTAACTGCCCAAGAGCTTACATGAGTCGGATGCCATGGATGTTGGCGGGGAGAAAATGCAGTAGAAAATGAACAGTAACAATCACGACGGCACCCACCATCACCACCTCCAACCCCACACTGACAATACCTCCTCACGTTCCCAACCTCAGCAGCAGCGCCGTCCACGTGGCTTCGCTGCGGCGGCGATGGGCGTCTCCACCGTTACCACAACCATCAACAACAATCCTAGGGGCAGTAGAAACGAGAGAGAGAAAGAAAAAGAACGAACCAAACTTCGAGAACGCCACCGCCGCGCCATCACCAGTCGTATGCTTGCTGGTCTCCGCCAGTACGGCAACTTCCCTCTACCTGCACGCGCCGACATGAACGACGTTCTGGCCGCCCTTGCCCGCGAGGCCGGTTGGATCGTCGAACCCGATGGTACCACTTTTCGTCAATCCCCACCCACTTCTAAATTGGTCAGATCTTTCTTCTTCTTCTTCTTTCAAATCATGTTTATTTATTAGGGTTCTTATTTATTTACATCTTGACATGGGTACTCCTGATTTCCTAATCTTTATGGGTTCATGGTGCCATTTTTGGTATTTGTATTGTACATAGACATAATGCATATGATTATATCTTTGCAAATTACGTTGTACTAAATCTTGATTTCTGGACAGGGTGTGTACCCTGGAAGGTCTGTAGAAAGTCCATTATCGAGTAGTTCGTTAAAGAGTTTTCCTGTGAAAGCATCATTGGATTTTCCACCATCTGTTCTCAGAATCGACGAGAGTCCATCGCCTGCTTCTCTTGATTCTGTTGTGGTGCCAGGAAGAGGGAGCACAGAATGTGAGAAATATGGTGCCAGCCCTATCAATTCACAAGACTGTTTGGAGACCGATCAGGTCTGTGTTGTGCAAATTTTCGATCTAACGAAGCATTATAAGCCTTGAAATCCAAGTTGGGCAAACAGGATGAGATGCTATTTTTATCTGACCCTGATGATTGTGTGTGTTGTCTTTACTTTCTAAAGTTACATGATGAACTACATTTGACCCTGCAATTGATCATTGCAGCTTATGCAAGAAGGGCATATGGTTGAGCAAGTATTCAACTTTTTAGGGACTGCATATATCCCTGTTTATGTGATGCTTGGAGTAAGTGGTTGGTTATTGTTTCTCTATATTCTATATATAACAAAAAAAGACAATCTTTATACTCGTTGCTACACTTCCGATTGGTTAATTATCTATCTCTCTATCCGTCTCTCTATATATGTATATATAATTTTACTCTGCAGACCGGCTTGATCAACAAGTTCTGTCAGTTGATAGACCGTGATGCTGTTAGAAAGGAGCTAAGGCTTCTGAAATCATTGCATGTAGATGGTGTATTCGTAGACTGTTGGTGGGGTATTGTTGAATCCCAGGGTCCACAGAAATATAATTGGTCTGGATATCGGGAATTATTCAACATTGTCCATGAATTTGAGCTGAAATTACAGGTATCAAGATTTGATCACTCATATTTCGTCATTTTCCCCCTAAAGATTTCAAACTTAGCTTTTAACTCTATGATCCCCATTGATTGTTTAGGGTTTAACTACTCAAGTGTTGGTGAACCATCTCCAGTCGTATAGATCTTCATGATCTTTCACCATCTAAATTTCAAAGATACATCCTTTCAATACGTAGACTAACTTTTAAACCTTTTGGACCGTTTTGCTTTTATGTCTGGGAGCATACGTACGCTTGAAGGGTTCAATGACCATTTGAAGTTCCATTTTTCCTTTAATTTTAAAGGTTGGGCTGGCATTTCATGAGTATGAAGGGAATGATTCCGGGGGGATATCTATACCCCTCCCCCAGTGGGTTCTTGAGATTGGGAAAGAAAACAAGGATATTTTCTTTACGGACCATGAAGGACGAAGAAACACTGAATGCTTATCTTGGGGTGTTGATAAAGAACGAGTATTGAAAGGAAGAACCGGCGCTGAGGTATCATAAGCTTTTAATCATATACTTCTTCCTTTCAATCTTTAACGAGTCACGTAAAATGCTTTCCCACTTTTGATATGTCCTCTAAGATTTAACATCTTCTGTGGGTGCTTTGAATACTTCCATTATTTTTGCCTTATATATGCTACTTGGATATCCCATTATGTATAGAACATTCTGGATTGTTCTAACAGAATGTGGGTTTCATCTGGCAGGTTTATTTCGACGTCATGAGAAGCTTCAGAACGGAGTTTGATGATATGTTTGTTGAAGGTCTTATTACTGCTGTCGAAATCGGACTGGGAGCCTCGGGAGAACTGAAGTATCCTTCTTTTTCAGAACGGATGGGATGGAGATATCCTGGTATTGGTGAGTTCCAGGTATCCGAGCATGTTTATCTCTTCATTTTGCTTACAGTTTCTTATTTATCAATCTAAAAACACACACATCTTTTGCAGTGTTATGATAAATATTTGCAACAGAATTTACGCAAAACTTCAAGTCTTCGTGGTCACACTTTTTGGGCTCGAGGACCTGAAAATGCCGGTAATTACAATTCTAGGCCACAAGAAACGGGTTTCTTCTGTGAACAAGGTGATTATGACAGCTATTATGGGCGTTTTTTTCTCCAATGGTACGCTCGGTCCTTAATAGATCACGCCAATACTGTTCTCTCTCTTGCAAGTCTAGCATTTGAGGAATTACAGATGGTTGTTAAGGTAATAATTTTGGAACATTTGTTGTTTATAACAAACAATTTTATATATTTGTCGTTTTTAGAAGTGTGTTTGGTTGTTTATTTCTGATGGGAGTATGTTGAACATTTTAGAATTTTGTCTAGGCAGATTCCGGCTGTTAACTGGTGGTATAAATCTAGAAGCCATGCAGCTGAGCTCACAGCTGGATATTATAACCCTGCTAACCGAGATGGGTACTCGGCACTCTTTGAGGTTCTTAAGAAATACTCAGTTGCAGTGAAGTTTGTCTGCTCAGAACTGCAGATTTCTAGTGACGCAAGTGATGAATCACTTGCCGATCCAGAAGGGTTGACATGGCAGGTTGTGCACCGGTCAAAAGCCTCTTCTATCTTTGTTCTTTTACGTTTGTCGTTCTTTTTGCTATAACAACCGCTCTACTCTGTGGGGGTAGAGTTCAGGTTTGCTTACATCTTACCCTCCCTGGACGCCCACATCCAGGCTGGATATACTGGGTTTGTTTCGTTCTTGTTTTGTCAATTTATCGCAGGTGAGGCTTTGGCTGCGCCTGGATTCGAACCCAAGGAAGACGAGATTTCCACTACATTCCCATGACCCTTAACCTTAATCATGGTCAGAGATTGTTTCATGTTAAGATTTTGATTGTGTACTATTAAATCTTACAGGTACTGAATTCCGCTTGGGAACAAGGTTTATCTGTAAGCGGTCAAAATGCATTTCTATGTTACGATAAAGAGGTATTCATGAGATTAGTCGAGACTGCAAAGCCAAGCAATGATCCGGATCATCATCACTTTACATCCTTCACTTTTCAACCGCCCTTGCCTTTGGTTGAACGAACAATATGCTTCTCGGAACTGAACCACTTCATCGGATGCATGCATGGTACATAGTCCAAAACTCATGGTTTGATTTTACATTTTTTGCTTTCTGATTTATCTGATTATGTTGATGTCGAAACTTGAAATGAAACCACACAAACCCAGTATATCCTACTCGACAAACATTTCTTAATTCCCATTTGTATATAGCGTTGGTTGTCCATTGAACCAATTCAAACCATTACATCCCACCTGAGGGTGAGAGTATGCAGACTTGACTTCTAACTTAGGAGTAGAGCGGTTGTTTTTGTATATTTTCTTCAACGACTGAAGTAAGACTTTTTGCAGGAGAAAACGCGGGAACGGAAATGTGATTGCTATGGAAGTTGGTTTTAACGTGAGGGAAGATGGCGCGCGAGCGATCGTGAAGTGCATTCCTACCATTTGGGCAAGTGCCCTCTTAGATGCCCATCTACAAAACTATAACCTGTTGTAATTGTTGAAATATTGGCCTAAAAACAAGAAATTTGTTATCTTTTTCATTTGCCTTGCATCTTTACGACTTCCGGATGAAATCATCGCTTTATGTAAAATCGAGAATTATAACATGGAAAACCCAATTGGCAAAATAATGATCTTCGAGCATCGATAAATTTTTTTCCAGGTCTTTAATGTAAAAAGGCAAAACATGAGAAATCAAACCTAAATAGATGACAAAGCAAGTCTAGTAAGCATGATAAAGCAAACTGGTTATGAGTTGTAAATACTATATGTGTTGCCGGAACGATTTGATGATAAAACAAGTGTAATAAGCATGATAAAGCAAACTAATTATGAGTTGTAAAGGCTAGAAGTATGCATTGACAAAGCTACTGATGACGACAAAGCAAGTCTAGCAAGCACGACAATTAAAAGCTGGAAGGATGATGTGTCAAGATTCTTATATCTTAAGCATGAGGTGTTAAAACTCTCGTAAGAGTACAACTACGAGAACAAAAAAAACAAGTAGTTGATCTAAAATGTATCTGAAAACCCAATATTTTTATATATAAATATATTTATTTATCTAATTTTATTTCGAAAATCTAAAATCCTAATCGACGGTACTATTTTTTAATTTCTAAACCCAATAACGATCTTATCAATCCTCTCGATTGATTGATTCATCGATTGAATATATACATTAACCGCATATAACTATATCCGAACCGGACCAACCTGAACTCGGAATTATCCAAAATTTGAGGCTTGACTTTCATATCCAACCCATTCGATGGTGAGTGTTAAAGTAAGAACCGGACATTTCCTTGTCTCCAAGCGCCCGAATTGGAGTTGGTTTCAAAACCAGCCCAACATTATTAGATGATCACGCCAACTTTCCCGTTTAACGGATTGACAGATTCAACCCCAATTTCCTAATTTATACTCCACACGATTAATCAAACACTAAATTTTGCCAATTTTGGTGGATTCAATTGGGGGTAGGTTTGATTTTGTTCAACAATCCAATCCCAAAAAGCTTGAAACCTTTCCATTTTCCATTTTCATGGTGAAAATGGATCTGTTCGCAATGCTTCCACGTTTCCAATCCTACTTTTTGTAGCACTGCTGGCCTTGTCACCTTTTTGCTCAGATCTGGTCGCTAATTCCTCCATTCAAATTTAAATTTGAAGATCGACGATTCGGATTGCTTATTTCTTTGTTACTGATCTAACAATGTCGAAGAACTCAACCGCCGGTTATGGCACGGTTACGGTTCCAGTTCCGGTTCCGGTTCCGGTCTCCACCAACACCACCGAGGCACCGCCACCAGCAACGCCTCATAGCATGATCGCACGGGCGAGGTACCACACGGAGAACTTCATCGCACGGCGTCGCCCATGGAAAGAGTTTTTGAATTATTCCGCCATAACTCGACCGCTAAGCTACGACGACGCCATGGGACGATTCAAACGGAACCTTAACTACTTCCGAGTCAATTACGCCATGGTGATCCTTCTCATACTCTTCCTCAGTCTCATTTATCAACCAATTTCAATGATTACGTTTTTGATCGTATTCATCGGTTGGTTTTTCCTTTACTTCTTCCGAGATCCTCGAAGTCCTGTTGTGATCTTCAACCATGTGTTTGATGATCGTGTTGTGTTAATGGCTCTGAGTTTGTTAACAATCTTCGCATTGGCATGTACGGATGTCGGAGTTATCATGTTGGTGGCTTTAGCCGTTGGTGCCGCTGTGGTGGCTATACACGCCGGAATCAGGAGCACCGATGACCTGTTTTTGGATGAACAAGAGGCCGGCGATGGCAGTTTGGTTTCTGTAGTTGGTGATAAATAGTCATTATGAACAACTTACAGTTTGAATTCATCAAATCAAATCAAATCAAATCAAGTGCAGAACACGATTTCACAAGATTGAATCAGGTTTGGTCTCTTGATCTTTGTAGGCTGCAATTTTGAAGTACAGTAGGTGAAGAACATGCTTTTAATATTCTTTTTTATTTTTCCGTTTTGGGTAGTTTGATTATTGTTTTGTTGATCCTATTCGCCATTTTTGGATCTTGAAGCTCGAATCTCAAGTCCCATTTCTTTGCTGAATGAGGTAGTTTTATTCGTACTTTGCCAAAGAGGCAGATTGAAGTTCTTTTGTTGAAATTACTGGTTTATGGACTATGGAGCTTCTAGTGTTCTTTATTCGATTGAAAGTTTGATGATTGCAATTGAGAACACACTGCAATTACGATCATTCATCAAATACAACAAACCACCTTTGGGGTATCCAAGTATGTATAGGGACTAGTTGCTAATGTGGATGGTAAAATCTTACCCTTAAATAGTGGACCTAAATAATATTAGACAACTTAAAAGACTATGTTAACAAATAAAGAACAAACACATCATACCCACATCGACCATTTGGTCTACCAGTTGTTCGACATATGAGCAGAGCACAGACACAGAGAGACATCGAAAACTGGACAAAGGATCTGCTGCTACAATGAACGAGTTTGATCCACCAATGATCATGGGTAATCTATCCGATCTGATAGCCCATAGCGCATGGTAACGGAAATCTTGTGCAGTGAAGTCAACTTCAGGTCAATCTCCCCTAACAAATGGCGTGGCACACCTCTCTTTTCGGGTTCTGTGATTTTGTTGGACATGCATCTTGTAGGAGTTGATAATCTTGCCGGAGTATTTGGTACAGACAGGACTTCCTGTGCCGATTGCTCCCATAATGAAAGCAACATGTTGCTGTTAAATATGAATCTTCAAGGTGATTGTAAGTAATCATAACAGTATCAACTTAGTTGGGCTTTGCATTAGACAAGTCCCAAGTGCTGGTGTTATATATAAACATCAAATATAGAAACGTATTTATTCAAGTCCCAAAGTTGATTCATTTTCCCATTTTTTATCAACTCAAGATGAGTAATGAAAATCAAACCCCCAAATTCCACTTGCATACAAATAGGTATAATGACTTCAAACCACCAAACATTTACTTCGTCAAAATTTGCAGGCATATTAAATAGGATGGCACTAGATTTAGAATATGTGGAGGAACCCTATATTACTTTCCAAAAGAGACCTTGGTGAGGGAAGGGAGGTTCCGTCATGTATAAAGAAGAAAGGGTCCAGGTCTAGTCAATGTGGGACTATAAACAAGGCATGCTGCTACCTCAAAATTACTGCAAAGAACCTAAGAGAACTATGTTGCATAAACCAACTAGTTGGTAAAGTTGAATCCAACCCAAACAAGGAAGTCACTGATGGAGCATGCTAGAACACTGAGTTGACTAACAGTGAAAGTGATTAGAAAACAGATTAAAAGTTTGACTGATTAGACAGCCGCTATGGCAGGGGAATTTTACTAATCTAACTTCAGACATCTGTCAGAAAATGAACATACAAAGTAGCAATGTTTTCTCAATGACCTACTAGGTATAAAGAAATATCTTAGTCTATTGAGGGAGACAGAAAGAACTGCAACAGCAATAGCCACATATCATAACAGCATAAAAGATCGGATACCCCTAGGACAACAAATAGATGTCTAACAACCGAGTTAACCAAATGTACCTTGGAACTGCTTCTATCAAAGCTAAATGCATATAGAAGCACACCTGGAAGAAGTAAGTGTTACGAATAGATTACAGTTACAGAAACAATTAGCATACCAGTGATTCCATAGAGCTAAATGTGTCATAAAGACCGACTATTTTTTAAATATTTATTTATACGAACATATCAAAATTACAATCAGTTTGGAGTAATTGTGTACCTCCAACGGCTTGAACTTGCATGCTGAGAAACAACATATAAAATCATTACTTCGCGGAACCAGCTTAAGAACATAAGAATAGAAGTTGAAGGCCAAATAAATGCTGGTTTATATTGCAAAAAGAAATTTTTGCCTGGGCTAATACAGTAAGTTTCACTCAATTTCAGAAAATACCATCTAATGCTGGTTTCTAAATGCAGATAACTTTTGGGAACATTGGTTGAGGTAGCCAATTTCACTTGCTTCTTGTTTCTAGCATTAAAATGTGCACAACTCCTTGCAAGCTTTTCTTACACAAAAGGGTAAATCTGATTCAACTCCTTGAAATAAAATAGAAAAACATAAATGGCATCTAAACTGCAAGAGAACAACTTCCACCTCTAAATATAGTAGAAAACAAAAATAGCATAGAAACATAACAAGATTCGTTATATTTAATAAACCAAGTAATACCTCTACTCATACAGATGCACAATGGTTGGATAATCAAGGTATATGCAAGACTAGAAGTAAAACAGACCAAGCCATCTCGGCACCAGTTATGAACCGTCGCTTACTAAACTAGAAACAGGACAAATCCCCCTCGATACATATCCCTAATTAGGAACAAATAATACTTGGTTGTTCTTTCCTTGTTTTATACAATTACCGAAAAGGAGTTAAATATACAGAACAGTTATGAAGTTATACAACTATTAAAGTTAGATTATCTTCCCCAATTTTAAAGATTTGAGATCTAGCTTTTATAATAATTAAAACAAACAGAGCTAAACTACATTTTCTATGCTAATTCTAGTTCTTGACAATTGAAAATTGACATACAAACATTATTTTATAACCAGTGTTTGTTAAAATGTTTGACTTGGTTTAACATATTCTTCCCTAATTGTTAATCCATGTCATTACAAACTTCCAAGAATTCCAATGGGCAATCCAAAGTCAAAATGCAGGTCTATACTTGGAACCTAAAGAGCACACCATCTAACAACTAAAATTTTACCTAATTCCTTATAGTGACGACAAAAAAGGTTGATCGATTTACTCAATTATAACATAAATCCAAGCTGTTTTCATTGCTAAATCAAGTCTCAAATCAATAAATATCTACTACGCGTATAATCATATCGCCAAAGCAAAATTTAATAGCAGAATGCAATAATTTTCATCAATTTCCAATCAAATTGAAACCGCAGATGCAAATCACCAATAAAAATCAACCTGTTGTGAATTTTCCGAATCCAAATCTAAGATCTCCACCGCTGCTAACAATCATTCACGGCAGTTTCCGATTCAGTTGATGCAAGGCGGGACCGGTGTTCACCGAAACGATTATCCCTCACAAACTTCCGCTTTATGTGTCCGTGAGGCGCAGAAAGGCAAACACGACCCCGCCGGCGATACCGTTCCCGACCTGCACCAAGCGAATCAGAAAACCGCCGTAACGAAACAAAAGTCGCTTCATCCATCATCTCAAACCACACATATTTAGTTACAAAATCTGTATACATAATATCCATTGAATCTATGGATATAAAAGCAATAGATCTGCATGAAATTTGCCAGCAAGAGAGAAGAAGAAGAACCCTATCTATCTTTGATGGAGAGGGTATGAAGAGAAGGAGGGCGTAGGTTATTTAGAGGGCAAATAAACCAATGAAATGGAGACACGTGGAGGTGGCTATAGAAGGTCCGGTGAATTTATCAGGCAGCAGCGGTGGTGGTTGAGACAAGGGAAGGTGGGAGAACGGGATTCCGTTTTTCGTACAATGACGAGAATACCCCTGGGAGGAGGCGGTGGTAAACACAGGAGGATTGGAGGGAAGGGTGGAAGAGTAAAAGGACATGAGAGAAGGTGGGCCAGAGTTTGACTGGAGAATCAAAAGTCAAAGTTGGGTTTTGAGACATTTTTTGCACATTTAATTTGAAAATACTAAATTTTGTAAATAAACAGTAAAAACATTAATTATTTTCATCAACTAATTTGTCAAAAGAAGCCTAAAATAGATTTAATTTATGCATTTCAAAATAATTAGCGTATTTTTTTTTACATAAATGATCAATTAATGCATTTAGAAATGTCCAGTGAAATTATTTATCCTCAACTTGTTTATACTGATTTATCGAGTAAGTAGTTGTTTACTGACTGTTAGGAGAATTTGGTTCGCATGATTCCGACGGAATTCGAAGGAATTGGAATAATGAATTCTATTGACTAAATTTCATTAAGACATTTGGTTACCTATGGAATGGAATTGAATTCTACACATTCCATCGTTTATGGATTTAGTCATTCCATCACAATTGAGAAAGAATTCAATTACATTACATCATATTTTCTCAAATAGACAAAAGCATCTCCTTCCCTACTTGATCTAAATCACTGCCGACCACTACTGATTTTACCCTATTGCAGACCACCAACGTTCTAAACCATCTTTGACCATCATTGTTCTGAACCACCACCGATCGCCACCAATCTAAATCACCGTCAACCTGAACGAACCATCATTCTGAATCACTACCGACCACCACCAATCTGAACCACCGTGGACTTCAACCACCGCCGACCACTCTCAATTTTGTTGGGAAAACTGGGTTTCTGCCCATTTCAAACCAAAAACAAAGTCGAGTCCAAGCCTAGATTGGAAAGATGTTTGTGGGTTTTTTGCTGTGTTATGTGCGAACTTCTTTTGATATACTTTGTGTCTAAAAAAGGGAAGTGCGGGTAAATAAGCAATCGAACTTCAAAATGTTTAGAATTTGAAGTGAATGTTTGGGCGTAATAAATCATTGTCAGTGGGAAATGAAAACAAATACTTAATTTACGACTTCTTGATTTTTACTGATTAAGTCACTAGACAATCTTTTTTGAACAAATATATCTTTGAACTTTCTAAAACCGATTAAACAGCTTCTTATAACCTATAAAAATGATTGGTAACCTACTGTTGTGGTTAAAAACCGTTTTCAAAATTTTAGGAAAAAAACCCCCAACGAATTCTCCGATACTTTCTCTGAACAGATAAATCATCTAAACTATTTAAAACCGATTAAACAAATCATTTTAGTTTGATTTTGTGTTGAATATTCACCGCTTTTTTGTCTTGTTTTTTCCGTCAGAAATCACAGTACATATTCTTGTTGGATGCTCGTTGTTTTTTTCGCTTGTTTTTCTCTGTCGAAAATTACACTACATACTTTTTGTTGGATGTTCACTGTTTGTTATTTTGTTTGTTAAAAATCCATGTACTTTTTGTTCGTTAGACTCTTTTGTTGGATTCTCTTTTCATTTTGGTAAAATTGTGATGAACATCGTAACATCAGCTTCTGTAATTTGACTACTGAAATTTGAAATTTGAACATTATAACCCGACGTTGATATAAAACTAATTCCAATATCTGCTAACCAAAAAAGTTGGTTAGTTATGATATAAGTTTTTTCATACCAATTATAATTGGTTGGTATATAATAAAAAAATATGGTGATATCAGATCACACCCACCTCGAAAAAAAATATTATATTTATTTTATTTTGTTGGTTATATTTAATAAAATTCAATTTAATTAGCTTTAAAAAGTTCAAGAATTTATTCATTCAAAAAAATATCAACAGTCTTAATGATTTAAAATATGAAAGTCACATTAACCTAGGCATGAGAATGGGGCGGGGACCTCAATCCCCGTCCCCGTTTACTTATCTCTATTCTCGTCCCCATCTCCAACGGGGAACAGGGATCCCCAACGAGGAAACGGGAATTTTTTTTTCTGTTTATGTAAGTTATTTTAAATTAAATATGTGAGAGACCATATATGTTTAAATCTCAAACATTTTCAATAAACCTAAAACCAAAATGAATTTAGTTTAATACAAAAAAACCACAACATTATATAAAAACTAATAACCTAAAACCAAAAAAAAAAATCAATTTAATCCAAAAAAACTTAAAGCCACAAATACCAAAAGATATTGAGTTATAAAACCATATCGAGTAATATACAAAACTTATTGAGTAAATTTGATTTGACATCCAAAATATTACATATTAACATAAAAAAATTACAATTTTAGATTATAAACCTAGCTAGGAAATATGAAATTATGAATTAACACTTTAGTTGAAATAATATATATATATATATATATATATACACAATTTATTAATTAATGTATATAATGGGTATGGGGCGGGACGAGGAGTACCATACCCGTCCCCGATTTAGCGGGAAATCCCTGTCCCTAACTGGGACGGGTGGACCAGGTTCCCTGACAGATCGGGACCCATTCTCATGTCTACATTAACCAGTATTATAGGTCAAAATAATATATGTTTATGTATATTTTACTTAAATTTTCTCTCAATTATTCTCCCTAAAAGAAAATCTAGATGTGTGACCATTGTGGATTCTATTACACATCTTTTGACAATTTGGTACTCCTAAATAAATTGATATTTACCTTTAATATTTATTTATAATTTTGAAGATGATTTGAAATAAATGTAATATTTTTTTTTTGGGGAAAATAAAATGTGTTAAAATAAATAAATAATAGTTTATCAGATATTTGGGGATAAGTTTGTGCTTGTTTAGAGGTATAAAATCTATTGATCTAATTGGAACCGACTGATCTAATTAGAACTGACTAACTATAATTGGATATCCAATTGTAATTTGATCGGATCGAATTGTAAATTTCAACATTCAATTTGGATTGGTTGGTTCTCGGATGACAGTATAGAACTGACCAAAACCGAACTGAACCGATCAACATCCAATTAATCATTCGACGACTATCCAACTACCATTCAATTAATTTAATTTTGAATTGCTTAAATTGAAATTTGTTTTATATGGGGCTTTGAATTTTTAACTTCCATTGTGTTGGTCTTAACACATATTAAAAGTGATTAATTAATTTGTATTATTGTTAGAGAATTTGATTGAATTAACACACTGGATGGATCCAACCCCATCGGTTCATCCATTGGGTATCTGATGGATATCCAGTAAAAGTATCAAATAGATGGAATTGAACCGATCCAATCATCCATTGGATTGGACTTGAAGGTCTCGAGGCTAAGAACGCAACTAGCTGATGGAAAAAAGAGTGACAAAAATCCAAAATGGATCGGTTATTCAATGTTAATCGGATCGGATCAGTTGACAAAATCCAACATCCAATGGATGATTGGATCTGTTCAGTTCCCCTCACATCAAATGGATGTCAATATATGAACAGATCTATTTAGAGGGACCATCAACCGGAAGGCCAAGAGCTAACTATCAAGACTTTAGACTACCTGAAAAAGAATCTCAGAGACCCACCAAAGCACGAAAACCAAGATTTTTCAGAATTAATTAAACATTTTAAATACTTTTTACTAAATATACAGTATATTAATTTTACGAATTATGATCAGTATTATTAATTTTACTATTTCAGATAGTGTTTTATCAGGCAAATACAGAAAGTAGGTTTAAAATTTTGTTAGAAAAAACAGATGTTATAATATTCTTCAAGCAACCCAAAATACAAAATGTTGCAATTTTTTACTCGTAACTGTTACATGAGTTTTTTGTTTGATCTGAAAAATACAAGATGAAATGACAGTAAATAAATGAAACTTCGATGACACTAATGGTAGGGGACACATATCTTAACATGTAAACATTAAACGTTTACAATAACTTAGATGCTTTAATAAACATTAAACGTTTACAATAACTTAAATGCTTTAATAAACGTAACTCGACATAACATATTTCAAGTATCATGTTGAGGTAATAAGGTACGTTAAGTTGTCCAGATGTGTAAAGCCAAAAGACTGGAATGTTCATCACAAAAAAGAAACACGTGTTTAATTAAATCAAGAACGTCCATTTAGTAATCAACGGTCGTTATTTAATCAATCGTAACTATTTTTAATTAAAAAATAAATAAAAAATAACCGATAAATAAATGGGTTGCATCGATTATATAATCAACGGTTGCATGTAATTTTGTGCGATATGTCTCCCAAAAGATCAACCTTGAACCAATATTTCGTCCTTTCCCACTATTCACAATATTCCAAGGAGGACCCCATTTTTAACCACTAATTTCATCTTCCACCAACTTCATTTTCTTACTCTTTTATTTAAATTTTTATTTATTTATCAGTCTATCACTAACTTACCTGGTAAGATTTTAATAAACCAACACGGTGTCGTATGTAATAACTTATCTGGTAAGTGCTAACCGTGGTAAGAGTCTTCGCATTCACTTACTAGGTAGGACTCTGGGTTCTTACTTTGCTTTTTATCGTATAAGACTCTCGGTTTTTGTCATATTTATCCGGTAAGGTAATTTAACTTGATAAGTGCTTACTCGAATAAGCTTTGGTAAACAGCCTCTAAGTTCCCTAAATAAAAAATAAAGATCATAACAAAATACGTTTCATTTTGGGATTCAATATGCTGCGTCAAAGCCAAGACCAACGTGTCTACTGTACTCTTACCTGGTTAATGCTTACCTAAATTTGTATTGGTAAATAACATAAGAATGTAAATAGTCCAAAGTCGATAAAAATACTCAAAAACTTGCTAAGTAGCAAAGGCGGTACGACTACTCACCACAATACATGACAAAAGCATGAATCCGCTTGATTTTTTTTTCCTAACGATGGCACCATTTGACTATAAGAAACAAATATAGAGATATTTTTCACAAAATCAGCATTGGTCTATTAATTAGTTTATTGTTTTCATATGTGAGTTCCTGTGTTCAAGTCTTTTATTACAAAAAAAATTTTGAAATTAAAATCCAAAAACTAAAAAAATGACATTAAAGGGATTTGAACTCGGGTCTGAGATGGAAAAAGAAGTCTTATAAACCAACTCTACCAAGGGAAACTTATGTTTTCGTTTTAGTTTCAAAATATATACAGTTGCACACAACAAATTGATACGGTGACACTTTTCACGACCCTATAACTTTTTTCACTACCGAAACCATGACACATGCCACCATAAGAAGTGCCTAGGTCCATCCTTGTGAATCCGAGTCCAAACACGATATGCATAATGATTTCCGTATAGACAACAGAAGAGGATGTCTTTTTACTAAACTCGAGCAAACAACTACATACGCTAGCGTCTTACAACAGTTTTAAAGAGAAAACTTAACTCGGATTGCTGTTACGTGCCTAGTCAAACTTGAAGTCGAAAGCAAAACCATCCTGCAAATACCGTCATAAGTCCTGAAGTTAGAAATCACAAGGGAAAAAGAAACATTATTGGTCCTTTGGGACGTGATCGCGCTGGATTTAAGAAGTAAAGAGAGCAAGAAAACGACCCAGTGCTTGTGGGAAAGACTCAGTGAAAAAAGGCAGTAATAACCGAACCAGCCTGGGTAGTGTAGGGTACGTAAGAGTGCCGAGTATGAAACAATTTAAACTCAAGAGGGCTACAGCATCAGAACTCGGCTTGTTCTCGATGGTGGAGAAGAGCCCAACAGCACTCTTTAACGACATACCAACCACCATAAAAAGAGCTGTGATGAGCGGCATGCAAGGGTCTCCGGCCTCCCATACAACCATTCCAACCAACAGTGATAATATCGTACTAAAGAGACTTTGTGATAGTGCAACTTCCTTCCATTCTCCAAGAATCTCGACACCAGGTATGATTTGGTGCATTAGGGACACACCATTGGTTTTGACGGAATCATTTGCGTCAAATTTACCTCTGTTGTCATCCTCGAACGCATTTTTATGCATCAGAATGTCCGTGAGGCCTTTGCCACTTTGATAATGATCGGATTTCCACGGTGAAATATCGTCTTTAAAGTCGGATACTTTAGCATCCCTACGCTTTTCGCTGTAGCCATAGCCTGCACCAACTTGAGTACCAGTGTCCCAATGCGATTTGCCATGAACTTCCTGCAGGCGGAGGTTTTCATCCTTGAGATCTTTCAACTGTCAAGAATGCAGAAATATTTCATCACATATATCAGAGTTGAAATTCGAGATGAAGGCTGGGTGAGTTTGGTATCTAAATAGAATAGGACAGGACAACTGTTCAATGTTTGGTAAGACAGAACCGGACAGAGCAAAATAAAAGAACCAATTTACCTCTAGTGAGTTGCTTATATCTTTTATATATTTTGATTAATCTATGTAATTTATTAAATTATATAAAATGAATATTTTTATAACAAAATATATAATTAGAAAGTTCGGCAAGACGACTAAAATGACACCAAAATAAAAAGTTCATGTAGTTTCCAATTTTTATTTATACTTTTCTATATTATGTTTTTATTATTAATATTTAATAAATTACATAAATTAACCAAAATATAAAAACCGTATAAAAATAAAATTTTAATAATACTTTTAAGGACAATACAGTGAAAATTTATGGAGCATGAAATAAAACAAAAAAAAAATTTAAAGAACGAATAAAATGTAAAAAATGGAGACATATTTGATATTTTACAAAAGAATTAAATCTTATTTTCAGATAAAATATAAGTCTGTTCCACCTTGTTCCATGCCACTTTGTTCTACTCTGATTCCGTCTATTCCACATAAGCCCCACCAAACGTGGAACAGTAATCTCTATTCTGTAGAGTATGCACCCTGAGTGAACAAAGGTACTCTTAATCCGACTATAAGAACCTAAAATAGTTGAGAAATAAACAAAGGAGGAAATGTGGATGCCTAAATACCAAGTGTTTGACAACACAAGTCCTCAAACCATAAGCAACAAGGGAATAAAATCGGTTGTATGGGACGCCAAATATACTTAAATGTTCTAATAGACTGCTTTATAACATTCAAGTTTATACGACCAAACAATCATGTCTCTTAGGAAAAGGTGTTACAATAAGTTGACCCGACATTTTTGAGTATCTTAACAAGTTTTTTACAACAATCCCAGAACCATACCTCGGTCTCCAAGAGTTTAACCTTATGGATTGCTTCCTCGCGTTCCTCTTCAAGCTCATTTAACATCATTTCCATCATTTCATGCTCTTTGATGGCTATTCGTATATGTTCTTCAAGTTCCTTCCTATCACATGCAAGAGAGTCCAATCTATCTTGCAATTCACTGAGATGGGCCTGCAGCTGCACAGAGTATTCTTTATAAGGAACTTGAAAGGTTAAGCAGAAAACAGAAGCAACTTAACAACAAAGCCAAGAACTCTCAGGTTAACAAATGCATTCCTTCCACCAATCTGACGCCTTATCAAGCCCTCATTATATATGCAAAATACCATCTTTTATTAGATGAAACTTCTTATTGCAACACCCTGAATATCGGTCCCAAAAATGACCATATATAGTCATATCAAGTTATCAACTTGTGATAGAAAGACTTGATAGGACTTACTATTTCAAAAGTGTCCTAACAGGTACACTTGTTTGGTTCTACAAGCTTTAATCATATAAAACAGTTTTATTGGAACATTTAGACATATAATGACGGATTGTGTGAGAAAAGGGGAGAAGTGTAAGAAGAGATTTGGACCTTGACCACTTTTAATCTCAAACCAACACATGAATTAGGCGGGCTTTGGTGTATCTCATTAGTATAATGTTTATCTAGTGTTTCTCTATGATTAGGATTGATCCAAGGGTGGGATCCCTTCTCACAATAACTTTCATTCTAAGCAGGAATCCAACCTATGGGACACTTAGACATATTTGGTTTCTTATAAAGCAGATTTTGTTGTCGTGTTAGAGATCTTGGAAGACTGTAAGGGGTAGAAAGAAAGAACACCAAATGACACATGAAATGCAAGTGAAAGAACGAAGATGATACTGAATCACTGATACTAACCTGTTTCTCCCTCTGTAGTGCACCCAAGGCACGTACCGGTAGAGTTATTAAAGACAAACTCCAGAGCACAAATCTCCAAAATATGTTTACATGGAAGAAGATGGAAGCACTCAAAATCTCAACCCAAGTGTTTATAGCTACAAAAGTTCCTCTCAGAACCACCATACAAAATAGTTTAAAAAGTGAAAAAGGCTTTATTAACAGGACTAAGATTGTACCCACCAATTCAAGAACCATGGTTAATAACTATACTATTGATCCAAGATCAGATAACCCATGTCTGCCATATATATATACTTTGTAGAATCTGCAACCATGAAAGGTAAAAGCATGCAAGTATAAGAAAATGACCTCTAATTTTTAACATCAATCAACACAATAGACCCAATTATCATCTTTCTTCCACAGTTTTCACAACTCACTCTTGCCCTCACTGATGAGTCCGGTGGCCAATGTCATATTGACATTATCAACATGGATTCTACCCAAACCTTATTTCACATTAACATCATCTCTAAATCTTACTTGATTTCATTAACATATTACAAAAATCATCAGAACCCAACGTGCAAACATTCCAGTACTTAGGCCCCAGAATGTCGGGGAAGACAAAGGAAAGAAAAGAAATCCCCTTCTTTCTAACCGATTATCCAACTTCAACTTATGGCGGGAAACACTTAAAAGAAAAAAAGAAAAAGAAAAAGAAAATCCCCTTTTTCTAGCAAGTTCAAGAAACAAGGCAGATACTGATTTTCAGCTAGACAAAAGATCAAACAGGTTGCATACCAATGAGGAAAATGATATTTAGCTCCATACTGAAAAGCGAAAAAGGGCAAAAAAGGAAGCCATAGATGCAGAAGAGCGTACCTTGATTACGTAGTGGGTGGACTGAAGGATTGAATGAGTAGTGTTTGATGGATGGGCAGGAATTTGTAAGAGAATGGGTGGAACGTGAAGAGAGATAGAGGAAGAGGTGGCCAGAAGATTGCAGGAATCTGTGACACGTAGATAATGACAGGGAGAAGAGCAGAACGAGAAACCCCACACGTGTGTAATCATACCTTCTGCTAAAATTTAGAGTAAATTACATGTTTAGTCCTTATAGTTTCCCAATAATAACCAATTGGTCCTTAAGATGAAAAAAGTAACGGAATGTGTGGTTTACAATTTTGTTTTGTATTGATTTAATTTGTATAGCGTGACAGAAATCATTCTAACATTTTTCTTGATAGGATTACAGAAATAAAAACGACACATTTTGACGATGATTAAAGGATGCTGCAAGAGTGCACCCTTGAGTCCTCTCGGGTCGTAACGTTATGCGAACCGGGAGGTCGACACCGTGCCTGAAAGGGCCAAACGGATGCTAACCGTCTCCACCTCAGGCACCGCTGTCGTCTACCCCTTCCATTGATGGAGGAATCCATTCCATCATCCGAAGAATCACTACTGCCGTCGGTGGTGATGCTCGGCACCGGCAGCGCCTTTCGGCAAACCGGACAAGAGTTATGGAGTCGGAGCCAAGGGACGATACAATCGGAATGGAATATATGGTTGCATGGTAACTCTCTCGCTTCTCCACCAACTTTGAAATCCTCCATACAAACAGCACAAGATTGGGAGTCATTCAGCAGATGGGATTGGGTGATTTTAACGATCGGTAATCCGTTAATGACGGGACCGGGTGCTGGCGGCGGCCCTGGCCTGTCGTTCTGAGTTAACTCGTCGATCAACCCGTTTAACTCATAGCCATCAAAATAGTTCCTAGGATCAATCCCTCTTGAGACCACACCTTCTGATTCATTATCATCAATATCATTATTGTTGGAACCATCACGGACGTCCGTGGGTAGGTTATTTGGTGTAAGAATGATCCAAGAACGTGATCGCGGACGGGCTAAAATCCCGCTCTCGGAACCCCAACCATCCGTATCATCCAAGGGAGAGTTCCCATCCGCTCTATGCCTCCGCCACGGCCAGCGCCGCCCATGATTCTGGTTCCATGGGGGTTGGATTCCGACGTCCGAAAACCTCCGAGCATGTCGAACAGGAGGATCAAGCATGAGAGACAGTGCTTCCAGTATACGGGCTTCTGGCGATGGATCAAATGCAGTGAACTCGACCACAAGCCGCGGCCTGGCTATATCGATTTCATAAACAAACTGGCCAAAACACCTGGGGCACATGATCCGTGGGTTATCCGATGCAATCCTTACGGTTCGATGGCATTGGTAACACCAGTAAAGCTGGTAGGTTCGACCACCAATGTCAATGGCCCTTTCATCGGAAGCAGAAGAACTGTCTGATGGCATGATCAGAACGGCGGTTCTGTTTTCTGTAAATTGTCGTGATGCATACATACATATATATACATATTTTTCAACAAGTTTGGAATATGATCTCTTCGTCACTTGTTCAGAAAGCAAAAGATGTGTGCGAGTTACACCCATCTTCTTAACTCTTCGATTTCAAACATGTGTCTTAAGAAAAGCATATTCTTTACTTCAATATTGAAGAACAGAAATAAAAACCAGAAAAAGTTCAAGATTTAACATAAATTATCTTCACAAAACTGAACTTACACAAGAACCCAAAATCATTTGATCATAAAATTATGTTAATACTCGATCCGATTGCAAAATCAAAGATCAGCTCAGAGCTCACCATGAATGTCATCCAAATCTTCTTGTTTTTGTTTTCTGGGATCAAATCAATTGAACCTCAAAAGCAATTATCAGTATTTTAACAGCAATTAGATTGTGCAAACACTAGGTTTGTTAAAGATTTACAGTTTGGAGGAAGATAGAGGGCGAGGAAAAAAACCTGAATCGGCAGTACTGTACAGGTTTCAAGAAGATTGCCCGCCGACGAAAATGGGTATTCTGCCCGATGCAACCGCCGTTGATGACCCATGAACACCACCGGAATACCCTCTTCCGCCATTGACGAACTCTTCGTTACTAGCTCTCTCACATTTGATTCGTACTTAGAGAGATCGCCGGAGAAACAGAAACACTGGTCCACTGAAACCCGAGGATCGATAAAACACCTTTCTGTTCATCGACGCTTTTGCTTTAATTTGTTGTTCAATTATAAAAGGCATAATGGGTAAATCCGTCATTTACACGGAATTTATTTTTAGTAATTACAGAATTGGTCCCTGTGGTATGACATTTTTCATTTGTATATAGAACACATACATTTTTTTTCACGGTTTTGGTCTCTTGACCAAACAAACATCCATCATCTCCTTTTAACTACGAGGTCATGTGTATTTCTCTGCTTTAACGCTTGTTTCGAATGTCCATTTTCTTCATCGTATCATAAACATCAACAACAATCAAAAAAACCTAAACTCGAAATTAATCAATGACCTTAACGTCAACTAAATCAATGATACATACAATAAATCATATCCTAAATCCTAAATGAGACCATGAGACCAGCATCGCAGTAAGGGGAGGGGGAAGTTGATTGATTGAAGATGAACGTAGAGTTGAAGACGAGGGATAATCAAAACCACGATGACGAAAAAGGACAGTGGTCAGAGGGGTTGGTTTCATCCCATCCATCAAAGCTAGTCTCTAAGGGGTTGTAAAAAAAAACGGTGTTTAAGGATGAGAAAATGGTGGGTTTTTTGAGGCAAGGAGTATGATGCATTGATTTGGACGAAGCTAGAAGGTTGAACGACCACAAGAGATGTATGGTTGTCACCTAGTTGATCGCTTTCCATGACTGAGAGATTAAGATGAACGGTGAAACGAAGATGAACGATCACGTGAGGAGGAAAGTGGTGCATGTGATGATGAATGGCGAGTACCAACAATGGTGGTACAAGTGAAACATTCCAAGATATGCAATTTACCATATTACCCTTTATGCAAATAATTTAAAAATCAAATATCTCCCAAATAACTATTCAACAAGATATTTTATTTGGAGGTGAGGATCTCAAAGTGGTGGTTCATGACATTTTCTGCACTCTGAATCATCACCAAGTTGACACGGCCACCCCTGAATTGACACTTACGTATCTGTCTTTACTGCTCGCACTTCACCTCACAAAACCCATTTGTTCCCCAATCCTCAAGAACACCCAAATCAATTTTTGTAGCAATTCCAAGTCTTTTGAGCATGAAACCTGCTAGATTGCTAACCACTAATCCATCAAGACCAATCCTTTTCAAGCCACCCACGTTGGGTTCAAATGTCAATTGGGTCTACGGCCGTTTCCGGCCCCCGGGTGTTCGATTTCCGCTCGCATGTTTGGCCACCAGCTCTACACATGATACCCATTTGACAGCTTCGCCGACCAAGATCGCCGAGGTTGGTTCTTCCGGCGTGTTTCCTGATTCGCCGTATCAGGGGAAGTCGCAGCGTTGGGAGGAGAACGTAGAGAAGGTTAACTTCTATTTATTTGTGCTTTATTCTTTATTATTTATATTCGGTAATAGGTCTAGATATCATTGGATGATCTTTATTTTTGTCCATTTTGAGTGAGAACTTTACACAAACACATGGTGATCAATCGCCTCACAGTTCATAAAACTTGATTACGAAACAAATGCACATGCTTAGAACATTTTGTATATAATACTTACACTTATTGGATGATTGATTGTCTTAAAGATTGTATTCTGTTGTAGGGTATTTACAATTGCCGCTTCTTGACTCTGTTAGCTGTTTTGGGATCTTTGATTGGATCATTTCTATGTTTCTTAAAGGTATATTTCACTTCATTGATTACCAAATATATTGGCATTGTTGTTTTGTGTTATATGTTGGTATTAAGTTCCTACCACTCTGTTCTGGTTATGGGTATTCAAGATGCATACCAAACTCAGTAGCTTTTAGAAGATCTGAGCACTTGAAACAAAACCAATCGAGTTCACGAGTTGAAAAGGTTCTTATTTGAGGCGATATGTATTCGTCTAGCCCCTTTCGCCACTCTGGAACAATCTGTGCGCATCTAGCCTATGTTGACAAGGCACGTTAGAGTCACACATCAGCTAGACGTCGAATCATTTTCCCTTAATATACGTTGGAATCTTCCTTCTCTCTTTTCAGGACTCTTTTGGAGAGTAATCTAATAGGGTTTCCACACGTTCTTATAAAGCTTACTTTTTTATATATATATATATCCAGGGTTGCACATATGTTGCATCATCATTCCAAGATTACTTTCTGAACCATGGGAGAGGGATCTTAATGCTGGTTGAGGCCATTGGTAATCTAATCCTTTGGGAACAGTCATGTTGGTTTAGTAGAATTCTAGTGTTTCCTAAATTGAGCATTTGTTAGAAACATCGGTCATTTGACGGTATATATTACTGGTTTTTTCTTCACCAGATGTGTATCTTTTGGGAACAGTCATGTTGGTTTTCGGCATGGGTCTGTATGAGCTTTTTATCAGCAACCTCGACCTTGCACAGTCCACGTCAGAAAAAACGACCACTCACCAATCTAATCTCTTCGGCTTATTCGTTCTAAAGGTTGGTGTATGTTATTTCTTCTGGCTTCTTTCATATCTGCCTAAAACTTAACTCGGCAAGTCCTCAGAAGTACTGAAGTCCAATTAGCGGATGATTTTGTCTTGTTCAACAGACAATGATTCTCTACTACGTGAAACGTTTCAGGAAAGACCCAAGTGGTTGGAAATAAAGTCCGTTAATGCGCTCAAAACCAAGCTTGGACATGTGATCGTGATGCTTCTGCTCATCGGGTTATTCGAAAAGAGTAAGAAGGCCGCCATACTAACGGCTACGGATTTAGTTTGTTTCTCAGGTTGCGTGCTACTATCTTCTTGTTCCTTGTATCTGCTATCGAAACTTCAGTAGAATCGTTGGCTTTACATAAGCTGGACGGAAGTCTTCGTGAACGGGCCTTTCTCGTGTTTGTAGAAAAAAACGGTTTTCGTGGCTCGATTCGCATACCCGTATCACAATGCTGGTATGGCACCTAATCTTTTTTCATGTAGAATTGATGTATAGTAAATATGGAGTGTGTACAATGGAATATAACATGTTTTTAAATAAATATACAATGTCCCTACCATCAAGTTACTTTTTTCATAACCACCTTGTTCTTCTGTCTTTTTTATTAAGTTCTGTATGAATAAAAGTATCTGTATAGATTAAGAATGTTTTTGTTTAAAAGAGTTTTTCATTAATGGAATACTGTTTTTTTTATTAGGAGGGATAGGTTTAGAGAAAACTTTCCTTAAAAACTTACTGAATAAGGTCATGTTTAATAGCGGCTTAATAAGGGCCTTAACTTATTCGCTCAGCTATGTAAGGACGTTTTGTAGTGACTTAATTAGCCTCTAAGTCATTTTCTATAGCATTAAGCTACTACCAAACAATCATTTATAACTGACCGAATAAATGGTGAATCTCAATAAGCTTATTAAGTTGCTAACAAATAAGCATTTAATCATGTTACAAACTTACAGTGGCTTTAGAAGTTTTTATTCCCATTCAACAAGGCAAACCGACAAGTACTTCAAAATCATTTACATCTCGTTGCGTCGCACAGATGCAAAACTAGTAGCAGTTAATTATACGTCAGATCATAATTAGAGAATTATAAAGATAAATGAAGCGATGTTTATAAACTGTATGTAACGAAAAGCAAATATATGCTACTTGTGACGCTTTAATCATAATGCATATCAATAACATTTTGTGTGATGGGACGGTGTTCGGTTCAATGGAAAAGGAATGTTAGATTTCATTGACTTAATTCTGTCCGTTTGTTTGGTTTACAAAACGGGAGAGATTGAATTCCAGCGGAATTGTCGTTAAGGAGTTATCACGTAAATATCAAGAAGTTATCATGTTTTTCCAAATACGACTCGTGTATATATATATATATATATATATATATATATATATATATATATATATATATATATATATTAAAAAGCACAATAACTCATGCTAACCATTTGATAAATCACCAAAAAAATGTCAACATGTAGATATGAAAATGGAGCATCAGATCTCTTGGTCAAAATCACTACGTGTGAAAATTATGATCTCATAAATGTGTTACTAAGGGGTCATTTACCAAACGCTTATCTGAGTAAGCGTTTATCAAGTCATATTATCTTTATCGGATGAATATGGCAATGACCAAGAATCTTACCCGGTAAGAGCGAGACAAATAAACAAGAGTCTTACCCAGTAAGAAAAGACGACGACTCTTACCACGGTAAGAACTTATCGGGTAAATTATTGTATACGGTGTCGTTTTAGTGGACTAAAATATTACTTGGTAAGTAAGTAAGTAATAGTGTTGAATTTTACCAGTAAACACTTATCGGGTAAGTTTTTGATAAACGGCTCCTAAATGCAAAAACAAAAGTTAACATGTATTTTCACGGGTGACCCGCATTCTGTATATCAGTTCTTTCTAATTTCTTGTCTCGTTTTGATGTCAAAACAGATACTAAATCCATAAAAAGTTTGAAACTGTGACATAAAGTGTAATAACAAATATTTAATGATTTCACTATGACACAAGGACCATATATATATATATATATATATATATATATATATATATATATTGGGGAGATTATTTGCAAACGCCCCAATTTGTATAAACTGTACAAACCAATTTCAGTCGTTGATTTTATTGATTAAGGACCATGATTAAATGGGTCTATTTAAGTCAATAATTTTTTTTAACAAGGTTCATTAATTAGAAGAGCACAAAATGGAGAAATAAAATTGAGTCTTATCATGGCAAGTAATGAAATCCCTCTAAACAAAGAAATGGTATACATCTCATATCTGCTAATTAATCTCTGTTATCCACCAATAGATGAAAAATACAAAACTTCTAATCAATTACATTCATAAAACTCAGTTATTCATGAAACCAGACAAAATCCAATTTTATTCATGTTTCATTGCTAAAATAATGAAATATTGATTTCATGTTTCATGTTAAAACTAGTTGTGTACACACGCAATGTGGCGGGAGTCATGAATTTTAACGATTTTGAAGTTTCACTGGTTTTATAAGATAAGATTTAACGATGATATAAGTTACACTTGGTCTTTATATATTAATACAATTTAAATAAATAAGAGTTATGGTTCCAATTACAGACTATCGATGAAAAAAATTGTATGACAGTTTAAAATCCAATATATTTAAACGACTCCACAAATGTGTTCGATTTACACCAAGAGCAAAGAACCAAGAAACTTGAGTTTTAAGATAAACACTCAAAACCAATAAAGAAAACTACAAATTTAACATATCATAAGCCATGAAAAGACAAAAAGGATGAGTTTTAGAATAAAATTTTAACTGTTTACCCTCTTTCTTGTCAAAAAACCCAGATTAAGGTTGAATTAATACATGTATATATATATATATATATATATATTTCAAAAAAACCCAAGAACATATTATATAGTGCAATTTGGACAGCCTAACCCCAAAATATATATAGTGTATATATATATAAAAATATAAATCATAAATATTAAAAATATTTTTTCATAGTATAATTAAGTCAAAAACTATTCAATATTGAAAAGTAAAGGACGATTATAATGGTGTAACTTGTTAAAATAAAAATGTTTTAATTGATATATGATTATGTATATTAATTCGATAAAGGTTTAAAATGAAACATTTAAAAGTAAAAGAAGTAAAGTAAATTAATTAACTAATTATAGGGGTATAAAATGTAAATTTAAAATTATAATTTAAAAAAAATTGGTTGTGAGGGGGTGAGTGCATGTGAGGAGAGGAGGGGGTGAAAAAGTGAAAAAATGTATAAATGGTATCTTGGTCATTTAGTATTTTAAGACTTTAAGACTTCTGTTAAATTTGTTTTATAAGATAATATAGATAATGAAACAGTGGTTTCATGTTTTATATTTTTTTGATGAAATAGTGGTTTCATGTTTTGTTGTACGAAAATAATGAAATAATAAAATAGTGGTTTCATGTTTTCTTTTTTAGTTTTCATTGCTGAAAATAATGAAATACCAGTTTCATGTTTCTTTTTTTATTGTCGAAAATAATAAAATACGAACAAAATAATAATTTATTTGTTCATAAATAAATGATTACATTAGCGAAAAACCTAAAAATATCATGGAATTATTAATTACCATAATTAACTATCAAACATCAAAATGACGAATTTACCCTTAAAATAAATAAAATTAAAAAACACAATTTTTTTTATTAATTCATATAGATTTATATACTTTGTATAAATGATCCCTCACCACTTGGGATCATGTGAGACCAAAGATTTTTCGTGAGACTCGTAAGACCAATTCTTTACCCTTGGATTTAGATCTACAATCTGAATATTCATAATCACAAAATTGCCACGAGACTTCTCAATAATCACAAAATTGTCACCGTACAACTTAGACCATTAGATCATTAGCTTATAAAGTTGATCAATGAATATAAATTGGTCTTACGGGTCTCGCGAAAAACATTTGGTCTCATGTGAACTCAACTCTCTCTCTCTCTCTCTCTATATATATATATATATATATATATATATATATAGGGTCCATTCAAGGGAGAACTGACTAGTTTGTGGTAACCGTGAGATCCAATCTCAACCACAAATCAATAGATAAATTAGGAAATTTATAATTTTGGTAAATATTTAATTAAAATTTTAATGCAAGAACATTTTAGGTATTTTTTCTCCTCTCTCATCTCTCCGTCCCCGTCTTCCGGCCACCGTCCTCCGATGATACCACAGTGTGATACTCAAGCACATATAAGATGCATTGCGATACCACTGTGTTACATATCCGATCTACCACACAAACGACCTCAGTGTGATACCCTAACACATATAAGATGTATTGTGATACCACTGTGGTATCACTGGAGGCCGGGAGACGGAGAGTAAAGAGAGGAAGAGAGGAGATCGGAGAAATGATAGAAAATACCTAAAATGTCCTTACATTAAAATTTTAATTAAAAATTACCAAAATTATAAATTTCCTAATTTATCTATTGATTTGTGGTTGAGATTGGACCTCACGGTTACCACAAACTAATTAGTTCTCATTTGATTAAGCCCCTATATATATAGGTATATATATATATAAAAGGTTGAGTTTACGTGAGACAAACTTATTTTCGTAAAACCCGTTAGACCATTTTTTACACTTGAAATATCATAGCAAAATGCTGTGAAGGTAAAAAAAACCAAACCTTCATAGCAAACACACTGTAAAGGTAACGTTTATAGCATTTTGCTGTGAAATTTCAAGTATTAAAAGATAATCTCAAAGGTCTTACAAAAACTGACTGGTATCACATGATCTAATGTGTGTATATTATTAAAATGTTTATAGGAGGTGGGCCATTAAGATATTAAAATGAAAAGCAATTCCATGAATGTCTAATCAAATACCCTTTATTATTAATACCTATGAATTTCTTGTCCTTATTTGGAATTAGAGCAAGTCAAACAAATGGTTTTTCCCAAATATGGGAAATATTCCCATGATTTATATCTCATAATTTATTCATTTTTACTTTTGGGGCCTTTAATATTTTTTCAATTATTAAAGTTGTTATCTTCATTTTAAAAATTGGACCCAACCAACCAAATTATGGTATTTAACTCATACCCCCTTTTTTTTTTTCCTCAATAGAGTTTGTTTGATGATTAAAATTGTTAAGTTTTGATTCAAGATATGTTTGGTAAATAAAATTTAAGTATTCGGATAATTGGTTGAAGTATTAACTGGTTATTTCATCACATCATTCGTCACATCAGCATAGTAACATGTTAATGCTTCAACCAGTTACCTATGTACTTAAATGTTTAAAACTTCACATCGTAGATACCAAAAATAGAAGTTTTAAAAGTACATTACCCAAAATAGGAATCAAGTTAAAGTACATTACTTTTTTATTCAATTTGTCCTATTTTTTTATTATCAATATTTAATAAATTACATAAATTAACCAAAATACATAAAAAAATATAAAAATAATATTTTGAGAATAGCAACTTAAAAGTTTAAAAATAATAAAATTTAAAAAAAATGGATAAAGTGTAAAT